GTTAGTTTGGTTTCTGCAGGGATCTTCCCTGATACCTGCCACGCAGTGGGGGGAGGGATAAAGCGATCATCCCAGAGAATTGGATGGGGGGGGGGGGTTAGTTTGTTTTCTGCTGCTGAAGGTTAACAGGAAAACCGCAGCAGTCAACAGACTTTGCTTGGTATGTGGGAAAGGAGGGCGCAGAAGCCGAAAGACAATGGCTTACCATGGCTGCCTGCAAGCTGAATTCTGTTGCCCGGACCTGCGTCTGTGATCTCTAACACCAAAGCCACAGGCACTCAATATTAAGATGGAAAATGCGACCTTGTACTGAAATCACATGTGCTATGTAATGTGAATAGTGTTTTTCACCATGAAAGAGTATAAGTATTGTTCTGTAAAATGTATCAATTTAAAAAATTCACTCCTTTCAACCCTCCCTCCAGCAGCTGCAAATTTTTCAAGCCTCCCTCCTCCGTCCTGAAGGCTATCTCAGATAAGGCGGCGTAGAAAGAGGATGCGAGACGACATGTTCACAGAAATAATGGAATCCACCCACAATGAAAGAGCTCATTTGAATGAGTGGAAGGACACTATATCTAAATTTAGGAAAGATGCCAGTCAACGTGAGGTCATGAGGGACGCTCGAGATGAGAGGTGGCAGGCTGCAACGCTGGGGCTGCTGTGTGAGCAAACGGACATGCTCCGGTGTCTGGTGGAGCTTCAGGAACGGCAGCAGGATGACAGAGTGCCGCTGCAGCCGCTGTATAATCTCCCTCACCATGTTCCATATCCTCCTCACCCAGACGTGTAAGAACGCGGTGGGGGAGGCTCCGTGCACCCTCCCACTCCACCCCAGTGGACAGCCCAACCAAAAGGCTGTCATTATATTGAATTTGTTCAGTGGCCTTTTACTTCCCTCCTATCCTCCTCCCAAACCTCACCCAGATTATCTTCTTGGTTCTCTCCCTATGTTTATAATCACTTAATAAAGAATACATGATTTTTAAACAATAGTGACTTTATTTCCTTTGAAAGAAAGCTGGGGGAACGGGGAGGGTGGGTTCCTTACAGAGAATGAATGAGTCAATAAAGGGGGCGGGTTTTCATGAAGGGAGAAACCAACAGAAATTTCACACTGTAGCCTGGCCAGTCATGAAACTGATTTTCAAAGCTTCTCGGATGCACAGCGCTTCCTGGTGTGCTCTTCTAATCGCCCTGGTGTCTGGCTGCGCGTAATCAGCAGCCAGGCGATTTGCCTCAGCCTCCCACCCTGCCATAAAGGTCTCCCCCTTACTTTCACAGAGATTGTGGAGCACACAGCAAGCAGAAATAACAATGGGGAGATTTCTTTGGCTCAGTAGCGATCGCCAGCGACCTTTTAAACGGCCAAATGCACATTCTACCACCATTCTGCACTTGCTCAGCCTGTAGTTAAACAGCTCCTGACTCCTGTCCAGGCTGCCTGTGTATGGCTTCATGAGCCATGGCATTAAGGGGTAGGCTGGGTCTCCAAGAATAACTATTGGCATTTCAACATCCCCAACGGTTATTTTCTGGTCCGGGAAGTAAGTCCCTTGCTGCAGCCCTTTAAACAGAGTAGTGTTCCTGAAGACGCGAGCATCATGAACCCTTCCCGGCCAGCCCGCGTTGATGTTGGTGAAACGTCCCTTGTGATCCACAAGTGCTTGCAGCACCATTGAAAAGTACCCCTTGTGGTTTAGGTACTGGGTACCCTGGGGCTCCGGTGCCAAGATAGGGATGTGGGTTCCATCTATTGCCCCACCACAGTTAGGGAATCCCATTGCAGCAAAGCCATCCACTATGACCTGCACATCTCCCAGAGTCACTAGCTTTTGTAGCAGCACCTCAGTGATTGCTTTGGCTACTTGCATCACAGCAGCCCCCACAGTAGATGTGCCCACTCCAAATTGATTCCCGACTGACCGGTAGCTGTCTGGCGTTGCAAGCTTCCACAGGGCTATTGCCACTCGCTTCTCAACTGTGAGGGCTGCTCTCATCTTGGTATTCTGGCGCTTCAGGGCAGGGGAAAGCAAGTCACAAAGTTCCAAGAAAGTGCCCTTATGCATGCGAAAGTTTCGCAGCCACTGGGAATCGTCCCACACCTGCAACACTATGCGGTCCCACCAGTCTGTGCTTGTTTCCCAGGCCCAGAATCGGCGTTCCACGGCTATAACCTGCCCCATTAACAGCATGATCTCCAAAGCACCGGGTCCCGCGGTTCGATAGAATTCCATATCCATATCCTCATCACTCTCCTCGCCGCGCTGCTGTAGCCTGCTCCTTGCCGCCTGGTTTTCCAGGTTCTTGTTCAGCATAAACTGCACGATAAGGCGCAAGGTATTTACAATGTTCATGACTGCTGTCTTGAGCTGAGCGGGCTCCATGCTTGCCGTGGTATGGCATCTGCACTGTTCACCCAGGAAAAAGGCGTGAAACGGTTGTCTGCCGTTGCTTCCTGGAGAGGGGGGAGGATATACCCAGAACCACCCGCGACAATGTTTTTGGCCCCATCAGGCATTGGGATCTCAACCCAGAATTCCAATGGGCAGAGGAGACTGCAGGAACTATGGGATCGCTACCCACAGTGCAACGCTCCAGAAATCGACGCTAGCCCCGGTACATGGATGCACACCGCCGAATTAATGTGCTTAGTGTGGTTGCATACATTCGACTTCATACAATCTGTTTTACAAATTCGAATTATATAAATTTGGATTAATCCCGTAGTGTAGACATACCCTTGCAAACAAAACGCTTAATATCTGTAAAGGGTAGCACACATTCTTGAGTCACAGCAAGTGAGGGTTGTAAGGCTTCATTAGTGTTTGATAAGCAGAAGGATAGCCTTGGGTGAAGGCTATAATAAATGCACTTTTAGTAGCTTATCAAGCAAAGGATCCTAGCACAATAATTGAAGCTTACAGGAATTACCACTATTCAAAGCATGTACAAAAGCCTATATTAGCAAGTTAACTTGTCAGGCATCCCACTGTGTTAATGATTCAGTATGGCCTTTAACTGCACATTAAACTGTAAGTAGGAAACAAAGGGATACAGTCAATAACTAAAACCCTACCCAGCCAAGGTGGTGTCAAAAGTGCATTTTGGTGGGTATTTTTAATTAACTGAATGTACCCCATTTATTAATACTCCTTATGTAAAAATAATTCAACATTTAATTGTCAAACATTTCAACTCAGCTACAATTGGTGAAAATGTTATCTTGGTTTATTGCGTGTCCAGTAATGCTCATACTTTCAGGGAGCTACTATAGGGATTTGATTGTTACCTTTTTTCCAGGAATGTAATAGGCTCAAAACGATCGACTTTTCAACTGTCATAATTGTAGATACAGGTTTGGTCTGTAAAGTAAGTTTCCATTTAAGCTACTTTGAATGAGAGTTATTCAGCAGTACTTGATCTTGTTTTCCTCACAATCAGAAGTGTCCCACTTGATAGCACTATTAATATTTAACTGATGGGCAAGTTATTTCCAAGGGGCCAAGAGCCACAAAGAGGGGAAATAGGGACATGCTGCATTCCAGATCAGAGTTAAAGATGTGGAATAACTTTGTAAAACAAAAACATTTCATAAAATATACACAGAATCAAGTATTGTTATTGCTTATGATGGGGGAATGTGTGTTCCTTGTAGTCAGAAGCTTTGTCTCTTATTAGAGCCATCCCTGAATTCTTAAGTAGTCCATGGTACTTCCCCAAGAGGTTAGAACTATTTTTCTAGCAAAGTTTGTTCATCTTTATCACCTGCCCACTAAAACTACACTATGCACTCTCCTTGGAGAAGGTCTTTAAAGTGGCTATCACTAAAATCAGTGAATGATCTGGGCACGAGTTACCTGAGAGATGACCACATCTTACCTGTGATTCACTGCACTAGTTAAGATATATCTGAGATATTCTTGCTCATAGTTGGCAATGACCTTTCCAAGGTTGCAGCAGGACTTTTAAGAACTGACTCCCACTGATTGAGAAATGATAAAGTGCATTCAAACACTGTGATTTGCCTTTTATAAATTTCCCCCCCTACACTACATCCATTTAACTTAATACTACTAGTGCTAGCTTTGTATTTCCACAAATAAAATACACTTCTGTGGAGAACTGCAGCTGTGGGAAGCTTTAACGTAGCAGTAGCTCAAGCCTGCAAATGGTCTTGGAAGGGCAACTCCTAACCGTCTAGGGTTTTATTTGTTTCTCGAGAAAATGACACCCAGCAAGTGTTCAGTTGTTGCTAACAGAGTAAAAACCCACTACAAGACAGTGAGTTAGATTTGTTAGGGAGGAAAGAATACATGTCTGACTAATAAACATTAGATAATCAGTGTATAAGTGATGGATATCCTTTTTAGTTAGTACTTACCTTTTACATTCTACCTAACTTTTGATATTAAATTGATCTTGAAGATTTGCTAGGTTGTACAATTTCCTTTCCCTCTGAAGTATGATCAAACAATTTAAAAACTCTTTAAATCAGTTTAAATAACAAACCATTCTGAATGTATACTTCCTGAGTCTTTACTGTTTCAAGTTTACTAATGCCTCAATAGTAGTCAGTTTAACTAGTTTAGTTATATGCTTCCCACAAGTGCTGTAATTAGCCACTTTAGTGACATCCGCTGTAAATTGCTCCCTACAACTTTCAGTGCATTCCAGATTAATAGTCTTACTCTTCCATGTGCTGAAACAGACATGGTGAATATTCATTATGCAAAAGATTCAGGTTCATGTCAATGTGCTTACCACCAATGCAAAATTAAAGCAATTTATTTTTGATATAGTTAAAATTGTTATTAGTGCAATAAGTCTTTAAAATGGAAAATTCAAATAAAAAATATTTACAAGTTTACACAGATAACTTAAGAGCAACAAAAACAAACCATGTACTGAGGTCATTGCAGTGCGTCTTTTTAAAGTAAAAATAAGGCAAATTAAAACTCCATCACTATTCTTGGCCCAAACTAATCAAACTTAAAAATTTACGATTGTCTGTACATATTGTTCAAGTACATCATCTGCTTCCAAACTCAAACTCAGACATTTTACAGCAAAAAAAAAAAAAAAAAAAAGTTACAAAATTGTTCTTTTCTTAACACATTTTCAGAATGCTGCCAGACTTCCATTTCTCCTGGATGGGACATTCTCACTGGATTGTATTTCACCTACACAGGTTGAGCTTTCTTCATCATGATTAAAGCATTCATATGTGGTTGGCAGAGTGCCATTGATTGCTCTGTCATCTTTCCGCAAGGAGACAGGCAGATTTGCTAGAGTGAAATTTACATCTTTAAAGGCATGCAATAAAAAGATCCCCACAATGATCGTGAGAAAACCACTGAAGGTGCCAATAATGTCAGCAGCAGACATGTGTTGCCACTCCTTGAAAAGAATAGCAGAACAAGTTAAAACAGATGTTGTAAAGAATACATAATATATTGGAGTCACTATGGAGGTGTTGAATATATCCAGAGCTCTGTTTAAATAGTTGATCTGTGTGCTCACACAGATTATAAGACTTAGCAGCAGAATCCAGGACAAAGAATGTTTTAGCACAGGTTTTCCTGCAATAAGTTCCTTGATAGTGATGCCCAAGCCTTTCACGCAGGAGACTGACAATGCTCCAATTACAGAGCAGATTGTTATGTACACAAGAATGTTGGTCTGTCCATGGCGAGGTCCTACCACGAATATCAGTATTAAGGACACAATGACGACAACTGTTGCAAAAACCACAAAACCTGCAGTAGGGAGGGAAAAAAATCACTTATTTATATACAGTACACAAGAGCATCCTGTTAGGTACCAAGAAACGTGCATATTTTAAGGGCAACAAGTCAAGGTCGATAGGCTTTTTTTCCTCCCCTTCATTTTATTAATTACATGTTCAAATGATGATCTTTCTTCGACCAGTCATCCAAAATGGAGGCTACAACAAATCTTATGACAACTGATGAGCTGGCTAAAATAAGCATGGAACTACGATTGCAGGCATGCCTGCAATTCCAAACTCTACTTCGCTACCAGGCTCTGAAATGAAGAATACGGTCCTAGATTGCCAGCCTCCCTTTCACTGCAATCCTTGACTTATTCAAAAGCACAGAACCAGGGGTATAGGGAGACCAGAGGGTGTAGGCATATATCTAAATGCTGGCTGTGATTTGTTTTGATTTGGGTGCTTCACTCAGCAACAGGAATTTTAAGCCACCGATCGGACATGCTGATAATGCCCTCGAATAAGTCATTTCACCCCTCAGTTTCATCTGTAAAATGGAGCTTTAACTTCTTTGTAAAGTGCTTTGAGATCTACAGATATCAATTGCTATATAAGAAGCAGGTATCTCATTATTTTTATTATAATATAATGTGAAACATAGATGACTCTGACCTAAATTTTAGCTACTAGTCCTAATGGTAACCCTTTGGTATTGTAAATTTCCCCCACAGTCTATGCTTAATTTTTTAAGATCAGCTCAAAACTGACTTAAACAGATGACGTTTCTTTGCAGAAAATGTAACAAGGGGAAAATAGCTGTCTGCTTCTTAGGTTAACATATTAAACTGCTAATTTATTATTCTTTCAGAACATACTTTTACTTGGACAAAAAATGACCTCATTGTTTAATCCTGGCATTCTGTACAAAATAAATTCACTGGTATCCTTCAAAGCTCACACTAAGTCTATTGTAGAATTCAAACTCGTATTTTATTTACAGATGTAGAAAAACCGAGGTGGTCTTTAACTTTTTGGTACTAGAAATTTGCAACAGTTGCAACTGTAAATGAACCACAGTCCTTCTAGCAAAGTAGAATAAACATACTTATCTTCCTTCATTAGCTACCCTGCTACTTACAGATGAACTTGACATTTTCTCTCACCTGGATCTCCTAGCTTGTGAGACATTTCACTCAAAGTTTCTACTTCCTCTTCTTGTGGAGCATGAATGACCATCACGGTTGACCCCAATATACTTAACAAACATCCAATTTTTCCATGCAGATTAAGTTTTTCATTTAAAAAATAGGATGAAAGAATGGCACTGAAAGGAAAAAATACATTGACAGATTAGGAATCAGGAGATATTTAATTAATTTGCCCACAGCAGACATCAAAAAACATTAGCATCTTAAAGTTCAGAAAAGACTTTTCGCTAAGTAATTAAGAGCTGTTAATTGTTATTCTAAGTTAAGGCTCCAAATAAACAAAGAGGGCAAACAATCTGAATACAGAATTAAGTACATACTGCCTCAATATGCAGATAAAAGCTCTACAGCTCCCTTGTTTCAATATCTAATTGAGTGCACAACCTCTAGTCATCTGCAACATTACTCATGTCCATACATTTCTATTAGACTAAATCCACTAATATATTAAGCGTAATTACAATTGTCTATATTAACATGTCTGCTATGCACTAGACTATTTGTAAATGTCTGGAGGCCCAAAAGTTGTTTTAAATTATGCTGCCTCCTCAAAATTGCAAGGGAGAATGTTATACATCATCCTCTCTATGAAATCCCTCTCCAAGACAATGTGGTGTGCTGGTGCAAAATCCTTGACTCTCTAAAGACAAATAAGATCCTGACTTTGGTCAGGAATGAAAATTAGTTTATTAGTCTTGTCTTCCTTTTATTTGTGCACATCATAACTGGCTTCCATCCTCAAGAGATGCAGAAGACAGGAATAGCAGGGTGTTGCAAGTCAAGGTAAAGATACACCGCTAGAGCTGTGCAAGGCAGCTTGTAGAGCGTGGACTCATCTTATGCCTGGGTTAAGTCAGTGCTACTCCTTCCATTTTTATGAGTACTAAGTGTAGTCAGAGTTAAGCAGAAAGCCATATTTAACAACTCAAATTTAAGTGATAGACATTTCTAAATACGTACTTCGCTTCTACCTCTCTGAAATAGTGCTTCTTTCTAAACAGTTCTTACCTTACAAGAACACTGAGAGCTCCCAATGGAGTCACTAATGTAGCTGGTGCAAATGCATAAGCAGCAAAGTTAGCTACTTCACCAGCTCCCACTGCAGAATAAAAAAAGAATGAGGAAGTCTTAACACATGTAAGAGAAACCTCTGAAACTGAACAAGTGTTCCCACAGAGAAGAAATTCAACTAAAATGTTCAGCTGACATGGAAGTTTAATATAAGCAGAACTCAAAGCTAGCAGCTAGATATTCCATATAACAAAAATAAATCTCACCTCTAATTTAGGCTAACCCATTTTTATTTAACAGCCTCTGCATTTCCCCATCCTACTAACTCAGGTCATTTAATTCTCACATAAGCAAAATAATCTGCAATTGTATCTTCTATGAAGCAGTACATAAATTACGAGTCAAGTTAAATGCGCATAGTCACACTGTTTAAGTCCAAAGTTTAGGAGATGTGTAAAAAGATGAAACAAAACCAAAGAGAAGGAGAGAGAGAGGAGGTTTCAAAATATTTTAAAGTAACTTTTTTCAATGAATGGTTTTGTATTTTGTATTGGCTGGGGCTCCTGCAGAAGGGCCACGTACACCCAGGAGGCAGGGATAAAGGAGAAAGCCAAAGCCCTACCTCCAGGGCTGTTCTCCTCCCCCCCCCCCCCCCCCCCCCCCAATCCCTCACCTGGAGCCCTCACCTGGAGGCAGCAGGGCTCCAGCTGTCAGCCCTGAGTTGCTGCAGCACAATGCAGAAGTAAGGGTGGCAATGGGGTGCTAAGTCTGCTGTGAAAAGTGATACTGACGAATATCACTTTTCACATCGCCACCCTTACTTCTGTGCTGCTGCTGGTGTAATGCTGCCTTCAGAGCTGGGCACCTGGCCAGCAGCTGCTGCTCTCCGCTCTGCATTCAGAGCTGGGCGGCACTATATGTACCAGGGAAGACACATAGAAAGGGGAGTCAGATCAAACAAGTTTAAGAACCACTGGTCTAGTTTAACTGCCCAAGCTTAGTGAAGTGAAAAAGTAAAATACATAAATGGTAAAAATTAAAAAGGGGTGAAATTCTCTGCTGATCAAGAAAAACTATTGAAAAAATTCACTGGAGATATATCCTTTTACATACACACACACACACACACACACACGATAGATAGATGGAGATAGATATCTATCTAAGAACCTTCTTTTTAATTTGATGTTAATTACAAAGATATTACTAATAATACAATTTATTTTTTTAAATACGGATTTTTATCTCAGTGTACATAGGTATGCACTATTTCTAGCTTTGGTTATTGTGTATTCAACAATTTTTTTGAACATTTTGATATTTAAAATCTTTTAACACTGGTTATTGTTTTTGATACTTACTTGACAGAAGTCCAGCCCACCACAGCCACTCTTTAAGATATGCATGACCGCCTTGACCTGGAATTGGAAGAACGAGCAATTAATCAGCAACACATAGGGGCAAGCATCAATTACTATGATCAACAGTTATATTCCAAAAAAAGAATTATTTTCAAGCCATGTTACAAACATATATGCAACCGCTCATTAAACAAACACCTGCACAATTTGATGCATAATCAGAAGTTAGGGTTGAAGTCAAAATCTTAAAATGTGCAGATATTCCTGTGCAATTTGCTCTAAAGATTAGCAGCGTATATATATTTCTTTGGGACTAGAAATGGCATTACAGACAGCACGATATTTGCCTATTCTGAGGTAATGTTCTAGACTCATAACAATGTTAAAAAACAAATGAAATAAAAGGAGATTTAACAGAATCCCTATTCTTACAGTTGACCTAAATAGTTCCACAGTTTGTAATCCCAGTTGACTACTCAGTTTCTTCCTTTTATACAGTAAATTAGGAGGATATCCATAGGAAGATACAACTTTATCTTGGGAAACAGTCAATCGTGTAATCTAAGGAGAGTGTGTGTATGTGTATACATTAATGTACACACTTTAAGCCACACACCACCATGGTATTTGGGTGAACTTCAAAGGTAGAGGCCATACAATATTTGCCCCCCCTCCCAAACTGAGAGCACACATTTGGTGTTCACTCATAGCAACACCAACTTCTCTGGAATCACCAGAGATGGAAGGTTCTAATCCTGTGCTATGTGGTGGTGGCGTGGCTGTAGCGCCGCCAGCCACCGGTGCTGCAGCAGTGCGGTAAGGGGGCAGGGGGGTTGGATAGAGGGCAGGGGAGTTCAGTGTGGAGGTCAGGGGGCGGGGGTATGGATGGTGGTTGGGGGGAAACAGGGGGTTGAATGGGGGCAGCGGTCCCAGGAGGGGGAGCAGTCAGGAAGGAGGGAGGGGTTGGATGGGGCAGCAGGGGGCAGTCAGGGGTAGGGGTTCCAGGGGCAATCGGGACAGGAGAACAGGTGGTTGGATGGGGCAGGAGTCCCGGGGGGGCTGTCAGGAATGAGAGGTGGGGTTGGATGGGGCGGGGGGAGTCCGGGGGCAGTCGGGGATAGGGGTCTGTGGATGGGGCGGGGGTCGGATGGGGCAGGAGTCGGGGGGGGGTGAAGATAGGAGGTGGGGGCCGGGCCACAACCCCCTCCCCTAACCGGCCCTCCATACAGTTTACGAAACCCAATGCAGCCCTCAGGCCAAAAAGTTTGCCCGACCCTGTTCTAATCCACTCCCCCCCCACCCCCCCCACACACACACAATTAACCTTTTAGTTTCTTTGATACACTGCAACCCGTTTCAGTGTGGGTCACTTAACTGGGGGCAATAGCACAGACTATTTTCAGACTGATACAACTGGTCAACAGAGGGCAATTGGTGTAGAAGGGCAACAGTCCATCCAACATCATCTTGAATATTTCTAGCTGTTTTCTATCTATCTGAGCAATTACGTTGTGCCCGTCACTGTAGTATCTCAACACCCAATGCACATTTACCCCATTACTACTTCAAGTCTTTACCATATTTATCAAATGCACAGTCAGCTTTAGCAAAAATCCAAAAAGTTGGATGGACGCAATGCAATATTACCCAAGGGATGAACCAGTTCTTAAAATTATTTGCTTTCGGTTTTGATGAAGTATATTAACTACTATTAAACTGTCAATATAACAAATTCTTTTAGTATACATACACAACACCTAATAAGAATTAAGTAAAATAACCTTATGTTTTTCTGCTACAGTAAAATATTAACCCAAAAAACACAACCATCTAAGGTTCTGGAATGTCATCTTCCTGAACACTACCCTTCCCCCTTCAGGCCTCCCCCGTCCTTTTTTTATTATTAGTATTATTATTATTATTATTTCAACATTTCTGACAATGAAAGTCTTCAGGAGACATTTTAGTTTTAGAAAATAAAAGCTGTCACGTATTCTGATCAAATACTTTGACACAATTACACTATTTATGAGCCCATCCATTTCGGCAAGCATCCAGGCAATCAGGATCGATCGCATTGGTTCCCAAATCATTTTCAAGTACAATTCAAGGTGCAGTTTAGACCTACAAAGCCCTGATTTGGGTCCTAAGTATCTTAGAAATTGCCTCTTTCATCTCTAACTCCACAGCGGAGATCAACTGAGACATTCAAACTGACAGTTCCTAGGTTTGTTCACTTGGAGGCAAGCACTCCATTGTAGGGGCCCTGACTCTAGAATTCATTCCCCTCCACATCCTCCAACAGCGCAAGTATGTTGATCTTCCAATCACACTATGAAGATCATCTCTTTAAACAGGCTTTTTCCAGGTGCAGGGGGAAGCTCAGAAGAGGGAAGCAGGTAGGATGTAACCAGGTTTATTCTTAACTGACATGTTCTTTGATTAAAATATGCAAATTTATAGTTTGTTTTGGAAATGTACTTAGAGGGCACTAACTGAATATATTACAGAAAGGGATTTCACCTTTTACTATACTTAATAACGAACTAGAAATAATTCAGAGTCCAGTGAAAATACAGGAGCTGAATATTTTAGGTCTAGAAATTTCATCTCTCAATAAGGAACCAAAGTAAATCAATACTCAAAAAAATCAGAGTGAAAATTCAGTAGCCATTCACTAAGCATTCAAATAAAATTAAAAACAAGCAAAAGTTCTCAAGTGCATACCATACCTGCTCTCATGGAGCCCTTCCTGGCCAGCCGGAGGAGACCCTTCTTTTTTAGGATGAAACTCCCTCCAATGAAAATGCTGGAGCTCATAGCCAACACGAGACCAATATAGAAATCATATTTTCCTCCACTCTGGGTCATTTCGTAAGCTACTGAAGTGTTCAAAACTGCCACATCGGTCATGGAACAAAAGAGCTGCTGTTACTGGAGATAGGGTGATGCAATGCTGAAACCTGAACAAGTGCATATATATTATCACAACAGGATTTCATACAAATAAATCACACGTCTATTTTCTTATGGAAAAACTCTGTTTGCAGCCAACAAAAATGGCAGTGTGGCTGGGCCTGCCCCAAAGAACCTGAACTCTAAAGGCAGATAAAGATCAGAAAATACACTGGATGAAGGTGCATGCTTGAGGCAGGGGTGAAATAGGACAGATAACTGATTAAAGACTTTGAAGAAGTACAGAAGAGCATCTGGCACTCCAGATGAGAGTTCACAGTACAAGAAGCAACAAGGAATGACGCTTGAAGACAAACATAAGCAGATCCATGTACACCTCTACTCCAATATAACACGACCCGATATAAAACGAATTTGGATATAACGCGGTAAAGCAGTGCTCGGGGGGGGGGGGGGCTGCGCACTCCAGTGGATCAAAGCAAGTTCGATATAATGCGGTTTCACCTATCACGCGGTAAGATTTTTTTACTCCCGAGGACAGCGTTATATTGAGGTAGAGGTGTATTTTCAAACATACAGTGTGTGTGTTTTTTCTTCATATTCACACATAGTTCCACTCCATATCACACACAAAATATCGTTATTTATGTTAAAATTAGTTTACAATCCGGGTTTGAGTTAAGACAGCCACAGCATCCCAACAGACTCATAAGATTACGGGAACAATGGAAGAAAAAAGGGTACAAAGGACTGTTCAAATCATGGTAGTTCAGTTAGCACAGACCCTTTTTTGGGATGCATAAAAATAGTGCCTTTAAGGAATAACGTAGCAGAAACTGCAATAACAACCAGCAATCCTGTTTACCAATAGATTTTGCAGGGTTGTTTTTCTCAGTACAAGTTTAACAAAGCACCCCTAATGCTTATCTACAATGGCAATGGAAGAGTTTACTATGGAAAAGCCTTCACTCAGACTATTGGAGTCTCAAGCCTAGTTATGTGGAGAACTGCAGCAAGGGCCTAAGAAAAGTGTTAAACAAGAACTTTTAGAACAGGAGTCAAAATCTTCAATGCACTCCTGTTTCTGGCATGATATGACAATTGTCTATTTGCTCTAAATTATACTACTTTTCTGATACATGGTGCAATAAAGATATTACAGTTTCTTTCTGAGACATTAGATTTTGGATTTTTAAGATATGTGCATAAGCAGTCTTAAAACACTGAAATGTTCTGCTTAATTATATTTCAAGGTGATTTACTAATTTCTGCCAAATATGAAAGGGAATGAACATTTTTCTCATTTCCACTTTTAAGTTGCAAAGAATTCTTTTAATACAGCTGACCAGTAGAGAGCACTACCCTGATATACTGCCACACAAAAAAACTCTGGATAAAAACAGCATCAAGTTTCTATATACTGGAACTGCAGAGGGAAGAGGTCAACAAAAATGTGTTGAAACTTACGGAAATATATGAAATTTTCATAATATTCCTGGTTCACCTATGTAATACATGTTCCAGGTATAAAAGAAACTAGCAAATAGTGCAAGTCAATTTAGCATGTATATGATCTAAAGGACAGTAATAAAATATTTCTACTTCAATGTCTATTGCCAAGATGAATTCAGAGTCTGTGCAAACACTGTAAAACCATACCACAACCTACTGCTATTTCCCAAATGTGCAGGCGGTCTGAGGGGGCTACGGCGTTAGTGCATCAAGGCCCCAGCACTGCTGCCTTGGCTGAGGACACCATGCTGTGAGAAGCCCCTGATGCACTAGTGTCTTGGCATTCACCCCAAGCTCTTATCCACAGCAGCTCATATGGACAGCCCCGGACCCCCACTCAAATACCATCACCCCACACTCCTGACTGCCCCCTTGATTCACCTGGCACACCTTAAAGGAAATGCAGAGGGATATGAATGAGTAAGCAAGACTATGGTTCTCTCTCCCCTGCTATGCTCCCTTAACTCCTCTATTATGGGCATGGTCAGAGAATGTTCTGAGATGGAGCAATGGGAGGGGGTGGGGCTGACAGAAGCAGAGCTGTGTAGGACAGTGAAATATGGGGGCAATCCAGTTTATGCATGGAAAAGTGGAATGAAGGGAAAACAGGACTCAGTCAGGGAGTATGATAGAGTGCAGCTCTGTGGTAGGCCAGGATAGGAAGTGGATCACAGGAGACTTCAATCTCTGCAGGGAGAGCATGCAAGACAATACACAGTAATGACTGATTTTCAGTGTTTCTACTCATTAAAAAATGGGGAAATACCCACACAAGACCTCTCTGACTTTGCTAGACTGTAAAAGAAATAAGCAGTTTAGCTTGGTATAGCACCGCAATCCTCCACCCCTACCCTAACCCCCTCTTCCCCACAAAAAATATCACTCCCACACCCACTGAGCTAATATTCCTATCCTGGTCTGCCTGCTCGCAACTTTTGAGAGAAGGTTGGGGTAATACTTCTGAAAGCAAGGTCCCTTCCATTTCCTGTTGGGAGAATGATGTTTGGTCGGTGTTTTCCATTTTAGATATTCATACTGAGCAGCAGGTGGTTTCCAATTCAGCAATCTCTACAAAGTGGATGTGACAAACTGACAGAGCTCATGTTACCCTACTATACCCTAAATACACTTTATGAAATTAAGTTAAACCTTACTGAATTAGTGTTAATACTTTTGGGGTACATTGTATTAAAAGTGCAATTGTGTATGTGTTATTTGGGCACTGTAAGTACCTTTTCAGTAGGGAGGGGGATGCTCATATACTTCCTCCTTTATAAGCCCTTTGAAACCTCCCCCCAAGAGGTTCACATACCCCTTCAAACTGGATTTTCCAGGGAACAACAGACAAAGAAAGGGTTTTTGGATAAATAGCCTGTTTTTAAACTGGCTCAGGGCCTTCTTCCTGATCCAGCAAACAGATAGGACCCAGGGTTCACGGAGGGCTCCAAAACTTAGTGAAAGATTGGAAGGAGTGGCCCCATAAGACTGTGTGTTTGTTCTGAGCTGAAGCTGTGATAAACTTGTCACCACAAAGGAAACCCTGTGGATGGGGTACTGAAGGACTGCTCTTGCCAGAGCTCGTGCTAGTGTTGGGGGATACTCTGGTAAGCTTATTTGCACACATGTAGGTTCTTTTATTGTTTTAATATGTTGTCTCTGTAATGCCTTTTACCTTAAGAATAAAATATGGTTGCATAGGAAGTATTGGGTGGTATCTTATAACTGTAGCAATTATACCTGGTAACCATCTCTGAAGAGAAAGCAAGAAGGTGTCATTGTGCAATCTGTCTATGGTGGGAACAGCACAGTGAAGGCAGGGAACTGTACAGCCTAGAAATACCCTGATCAGAAGAGAGAGAAATAGGGTCTCCACTAGAAAGGCAACAGCAGGGGAGCTGCAAGGTGAGAGTGGGTGCCCCTGCTGGACCAGTAAGGTGCAGTCACTCTGAACTGTGACAGTGAGTATGAGTAATGACTACGCTCCCTAAAACTTGGCTATGTCATTCATCTCATGCGTCTCTGGTAAGCAATTCACAAATTATAGATTTTAAATAAAGCTATTGGCCCAACCCCCCAAACATAATCAGAACACAAATATTTTTGACTCCTCAATCAAGTGCTTAGTTGTGGAAGGCTTAAGTTTTGATAGGACAGACCAAGGAAAGACAAAAGTTATTTGAATAATTCTAACTAGAGTAGGTTATCTTATATGGTTCAATCTAAAAATTGATTAACAGAGCAACTGAAAAGTCAGTTTATTTGCTGCAAGTCCATTCTGATGCAAAATTATTATTTTTTATTGGAAATAACCTAGTGCACTGTCCAATCTTCATGGAGGCACCCACATAGTTCAAGCACCACTCTGTTTTCTTAACATGCAATAGTGCTTCAGCAAATACCAGTATATAAGAACTTTCAACACAGCCCTTTCCTGATCAAATATCTGTTGGGTTGGGAAAACGGCAGGAGTAACTGTTCCATTCACAAAATACATGCATGGTACTGGTGTTTCTCAGAATAATGTCAGGTGAGCAGTTTACAAAATACAAAAGAAATAAACACTTTCCTTGGACAAAAATAGTTTTACTGCATACAAAAGAAGATTTTATCATGAGAAATCCAATCCCAGTGACTTGTACTAGGGGTATCGCTTGTTTATTGAGTTGTTGACTTACCTGTTTATAGCATAACAGAGCCTTTGTTATACTCTTGATAGAGCTCAGAATCGGTTTTGACTTTCTTCTAAATGAATATGCATTCTTCCATCTTTTATAAATAAATATCAAAATGAATAACTTTAAAGACTAGCATTTATGCAAATCCTTGATGCTGTAAACAAAGGACAGTACAAATCTTTAAGGGCAAAATGAGACTCAGTCCCCTGGTGAAAAAAGGCTCATTTCATGTAGTGGAGTGAAGAAAGATAGTCCTGAATGGCTGTCTCCCACTCCTCGATATCAGCTGAGAGGAAGTGAGGAATAAGGTCAGAACAAGCCATATCATATACCCCTTAAAGGCAAAGGTCAGGACTACATTAGAAACTTACCAGCATAGCAACATCAGGTAGGGGTGTGATTTTTGATGGTATTTTTATGCCAGCAAAACCCTCCTTGCACAGATCAAGTTATACTGGCATAAAAGAGCTTTTGCTAGCCTAGTTATTGGTGAAATGGTATCTAAACTATATCAGCAAAGGCACTTTTTTTTTGCCAGTATAAGCTTCATCGATACTAGGGGCAAGTTTACACTTAAAACACTGTGCCGCTGTAGCACTTTAATGAAGATGCTCTAAGCCAATAGGAGAGAGCTTTCCCTTTGCCACAGTTAATCCACCTCCTCAAGAAGTGGTAGCTATGTTGGCAGGAGAAGCTCTCCCGCCTCATAGCACTGTCCACACATGGGATTAGGTGGGTATAACTACATTGCTCACGGGTGTGGATTTTTCACACCTGAGTGACGTAGTTATACCGATATAGGTCTGTAGTGTAGACCTGGCCTAGTAGGGTTTTGCTAGTATAGCTACAGCAGCAAAGTTTTTAAATACAGACTATGCCAAACTCTCATTTTCTCCACCCCTTCTTTTTTAGGAGACATGGGGGATGAGGAGATAGGAGAAGTCAGGCTCTAAGATTTCTCTGCTCTGGGAGAGGGAAAAAAAAGATATCTGATCATGATACTGCATCATGTACAGCTTGAAAATTGATGTTATGACTCACTGGCACTGAGTCACATATAGTATGCAATTCTCTGAATTTAGGCTAGCAACACCCTAGGGCAAGTACAGCTTGAGTCCACTGTTTCTTTCAACTTCCATCAATAAGAATAATGATGCACTTTAGATTTTCTTTCTCAATTCAAGACTGCATAAATGGTTAGCAAACAACTCTCAGTTCCTGTTTTCTTTTCAACATTTTCATGACCCATTTCTAGCTCTTACTATGAAACCTTCAGGGTTTGTCTAAGGCGAATTCCAATTTTAAAGTAGTATCTGTAATTTCTGGTCAAACTCAAATTGCTAGCAAACTTGAAGAAAAGCTTAGTTTGGAAAGGAAACAAGGCGAAATCCCTTTAGATTTTTCATCACCATCTAGGACATGGCTAGTACTTTCTGTGGATGGGATAGTAATATTTTGCGATGGATTTGTGGAGCTGAGATACAAACTGCAGATTACAATTATAGAATTTTCAAGGCAGTGACTGTCTTTTACTGTATATCTGTACAGTGCCCTGAACAATGGGGACCCTGACCATGATAGGGGTATCTGAGAACTGTAATACAAATAATAAATAAATTTGTGACCAATATTTATTCCTAGAGAAACCTTCCTTTTAGTTTTTCTATTAACTGATGTGACCTATGTAACTAAATTACATGCTGCAGTACATTTTAAAATATTATTTTGTAATACTAAGGCTATTTTTAAAACACTGGCGTGGCAGTCCTCTGTCCATGGTTTATAGTTTATGGAAAAGGGGAAAAAAACGCTTAGAGGTTTAAGTAAGAGGCCTGGTATGTTGGCTTGTCTTCACTGCAAAGTTAACTTGAGTTACAACTCAAGTCCTGTGCACCACCTTAACCTCAAGTGTGACGGTCCTTTTATCTCAAGTTTTCTGGCCCATCATGTTTTATAGGTTAAAACTTGAGTTAGCAGCTATTGAGTTTTGCTAAAACGACCACTCTGTACTGTGGATGCAAGCGAACACCACTTGAGTGCCGATAGTCCTCCAGTGCCTTTCCCAATTGTCCACCACCACCACGTGCCGAGAAAACCTGTCTGTCCTTTCTCACAGTCAACTGGGAAAATATTCATAGAGCAGCTCAGCTCTAGTGCAAAGAATTATGGGATATGCCCCAACAGTGTTAGCTGCACACGAGTGAGCGCAGCGCCACTGTGGACACAGAAGCTGGAGTGTTATTTCACACTGTGACTGGTTCTCACTTGAGCTAGGCTAACTTGTGAGAAGTACCTGACTGTAGATAACTCTAATTAACTCTGCAGTGAAGACATAAGATACGAAAGGCAATAGCTGAGCTAGGCAGTTAAATCTTTGAAAAATTCTGACCATCATGAGTTTTTCTTTTTCAATGGACCATCTCCCAGAAGGTGCCAACTCCTCTTTGTATATTTGTCTTAAAATAACTGTTTGGGAAAGCTGGGGAGAGGATTTAATAAATATGTCAAGGTGGACAAAGGAGAAGTCGCCCTGTAGACAGCAATATGATGCTGGCAGGTTGAGTGGTCAGAAAGAGGGGATTGCTTTCAAGGGATGTAAGCTATTCACTTTTCCTTTTTCCTCTGTAACTACACAAATAGTTTAGCTTATTTAAAATGAGAGTCTAGATACATTAAGCAAACCAATATTTTTGTTTCAACTTCATTTTCATTCTGTTTTTAATAAATCTTGGTTTTACTAAGATTACTGTTTATGGGTAATTTCATGCAGCATCCCCCGAAAAAATAGATCCCCATAACCTCAAAGGAGAAGAGTAGAGAGCTTCTGGAAACTACACCTCTCAGCGCCTTGGTTAAGGGGCATGTACAAAGCTGTCTTCTCCCAGTGATTTGTACTGCCATTATGCTGAACACAAGGGAAGAAGCCAGAAGACCATGGAGAAGATATTGTTTTGGTCACAAATGCTGTAAATTTGCTAAGTGTTCTCTAAGTGCACGGCCCAATTCAACATGAAATTAACTCACTCTTACAAAGCTGGCCGCAGCTCGCTGCAGCTCAACTGTGGAAAATCAGCTTGCTACTGAACCCATAAAGTTGTGACTCAGGGATCAGTTTACTTTTGTAGAATAAGAGCTTGGAACCATAGCCACCCACACATAACAGAATATATACTGCCCTTTAGGAGGCATCTACTCATAGCCTGTGCAAGTCAACTCATGTCAAAGAAACAGCTCTCAGAAGGCAACTAATCGCATCAATTTAAAGAATGGAGCTATGCTCTCCCTCATAAAAATAAGAGCCTTGACAGGCAAGACAGTAAGATATTGCTTTTGTGAGCAAGGGGATAGAGGGAAAACAATGTCGTGGAAAACTTCTGTGAAGTAGGAAAGAGCACCAATCAGTCGCTTGAAAGGAAACTCATTTGTCTTCAAAATCTAATACGGGAATAGGCCACACCTGACAACGTAAGCCGTGAGAAAGCTCTTTGCCTTCCAAGTTGTTGTTCTCAATGTGCCAGCAGAGTAGCAAAGTGATATTTTCCAAGAGACCTTACCAATTTCACTTTCCTGTTTCAACATGAGTAAAGTGACTAAGTAACATTTACAGTAATGGTTCAATTTCACATTCCTACTCCATTAGGCCATAGCAGTAAGCATCCAAATAGCAAAAAAAAAAAAAAAAGTGATGTTCAAATTAAACCAGGTTTTTGTTAAGTGGAGACGATATTGATTAAAATACATAAGTTTGTGAGAACGATGTGCACAGTGTAGCACTTGAAATATATGCAAAGAAGGCAGAAAAAAATAAAAGACAGTATAACCCTTCACCTTGTGCATGTTTATCTACAGATATGACCATAAAAGTTTCCTTTGTTAAGCAATGACAAGAGGAAGTGGCCTCACCTGGTAAAAGTTTACCTGTTCAGAAAGAGATGAAGGGGCTGGTCTACACTGAAAAGTTATGTCAGCCTAGCTGTGGCTCTCAGGGGTGTGAAAAATCCACACTCCTGAGAGATGTAGTTAAGCCGACGTAACTGTAGGCAGCGCTAGGTTGACAGAAGAATTCTTCTGTCGACCTAGCTACCACCTGTTAGGGAGGTGGATTACTTATGCCAACAACAGAAGTCCTCCCGTCATCAGAGGCAATGCCAATGCTGAAGCACTGTGGCAGCACCGCTGTAGTGTTTTAAATATAGAAATACCAGCTAAAAATCAATTGTGACTAAAACTTTCTAAACATTCAACACTAAACAAAGGTGGTATTTCATGAAGCACGTTAGGGAGCTAGTCTTTTTTACATTTAAAATTAGGCAGTTGTAAGTCAATACCAAGGGGGTCCTAACTTAGACAAAAAGACAAGTTTTATATCCTGTTTGCAAATGGAATACTGCTCATGGAGAGGACTGTACTCTTTCCATATGTGAGCAGAATGAATTCCAACTTTTTACCCAGTTTTGCCACTGAAAGTAAACAAACAAAGCCACATTAATAATTAGGATCTCCTTTATTTTAAAATAATCCACGCTGAAAATACTAAATGTTATAAGAGTTGTGACATAGCTTTAGCATACAAAGAAGCTGTTAAACTGTCAAATATTATTACTTTTGAGGCCACATCTACATTGGAGAACTTTACAGTATAGGAATACACCGGTATTCTATACCGACAAAGCCAAGCACTCTTAGTGTAGATGCAGCTATGCTGGCAAAGCTGTGCTTTGCACCGATATAGTAAAACCACCCCTGTAGACGAGTTGGCCGGAGCTCGACCCGCTCCGGGGCGGCGGGGAGCCACACCGACTCACTACCCTTGAGGCTGGGGCACTGGGTCCGGCGGCCCGATCTTCCCTGGCAGCCCTTGTGGTCCTGAAAGGTACAGTAGGCCCAGCCCTGGCTCAGGGCGGGGACCAACATTATCCGGGCTCAGACCCTCAGTTAGGGCTGAGCAACGGTCAGCAAAGTATATAAGCTCAGGCCCTAGGCCAAGGCTGAGCAACAGTAAACAAAGTATATAAGCTCAGGCCTTAGGTCAGGGCTGAGCAACAGTGCACAGTATATAATCCCAGGCCCTAGGTCAGGGTTGAGCAACAGTAAACACAGTATATATGCTCAGGCCCTAGGTCAGGGCTGAGCAGCAGTAAACACCGTATATAAGCTCCGGCCCTAGGTCAGGGCTGAGCAGCAGTAATACAGTATTTAAGCTCAGGCCCTAGGTCAGGGCTGAGCAACAGTGATAGGCCTAAGCCTCACAGGCCTGGGAGAGGGGGAGACTGCCACCCACAGGTTGGGTGGCAGGGGAGACACAGGCCCTCCCGCTCCACTGCGTCCCAGCCCGGGGCCCTAGCAGCGGCAGAAGACTCGCTGCTTTGTCAGTGGGGTTCCTGGCCGCAACACACTGACATAGGCTCCGGTAGTGCTACAGCCAGACTGGGGTCGGCTGCCCCCGGGCTACTTCCACACTCCCCCTCGGGGTCTACCTGGGTGCTGGCGTCGGCCTCGGGGGGATCCTGGACCATGGGTTCGTCCGGCCAGGGATCGTCTGGCAAGTCCGGCAGCTCCTCCGGATAGCGGGCGCAGGGCAGGCCCGGCGGCTCCTCTGGGTAGCGGGCGCAGGGCAGGCCCGGCGG